TATTCCCAAAATGATTTATTTTAGTTATTGTAAAAAGAAGAAGTGTGCAGAAAAAATGGACTCATTCTATTTTTTATTATAAAATCATTATTTCTAAGATAAATTTTAGTGGTTATTTATTACACTGACAATATACTAAATGCAAAAATTAAGCCATGAAAGAAAAACAACACACTAGCCTGGAAGTAAGAAGAGTGAAAATGGAATCAACGAAGATTTGGTGACAACTCCATGTTTTTATCTTAATAATGGTAATTTATAAGGGAGATCTGAGAAGAAAAGCTATCTCTGATGATTATAATGTAAGGATTTGAATAGAATTGTGGTTTTATGGTGGTATCTTGTCTGAGTTAAAAACACTTTTGCCTGTTTTCTGTTCTTGATCTGAGCCCTTTTCTCTCTGAGTGACAATTTCTCTTTTAGGTGGGCATATGTGGCCGCACTGGCAGTGGGAAGTCATCGTTATCTCTGGCTTTCTTCAGAATGGTTGATATATTTGATGGTGAGTTACTAACTAAATTTTTATTGGCTCTGTGGTGCTTTCACTTAAAAAAACACAACCCCAACTTACCTAATTCTGCATAAATAAAAAGCAAATATTTGTAAAGACTTTGTGTCCTACAACCCAGGACTTGAGGCAAGTATCCCAGATAAACAGCCCAGAGGTAAAGACAGAATGTAGAATTGAGGAATAAAATTCTAATCCCTAAACTTGAGCTCTAGGGATTGTTGCTAAAGAATACTAATAAAGTGGTAAAATGAAAACAAGGCCACCCACTTTGAATAGCAGTAGATGGGAGTTAGCACCTCAAGAAAAAGGAACAGAGAGGAATTCCTGCCTGTCTTGCTTCCCTCCACTAAAAATACATCTCTTTCCATCAAAGGAATGATTGCAAAGAGATAGGTAATATGTAATTTTAATTTTAGTGCATGACTTTTGCTGTCATCTTCTTAATAACATGGCATAGAGACGTTGAACATTTTACGAAGAGGCAACTTTTGGTGTAAAGTGCCAAGCACATGTTAACAATATGAAAAAATATTTATTCATCCACAAAATTATTAATAATATGATAGATACATAAAAACATAGAAATAATTGAATCTTTGATCTAGAAAAATATGTCACATTATTTAGTCTATCAAGTGGCCTATAAATAGACCAGCGCATAAGCTATCTTGAGTGAAAGGGGATCCAGCAACATATTTGACCACCAGCTCAAGGCTGTGTCTACGATTATCATCTGTAATGATTTTGATGATGATTATAGCACTTAGAGTATTGTACTTGACAGTTTATATTATTTACTTTGATCTATACAACAGCTCTGTGAGATAAAGAGGTCAGTTTACGAACAACACTGTTGAGCTATGCTAATTATAGTCCTTCGGGTGTTTAGATACCGGTGAGCAGCTAGATCGTTCCATAACTAAAAATAATACAGAGATATTTTAAGGATTCTCAATGGGATTTGTGTTATAAAACGATTACATGATCCAGGCTGAATTGATTGACACTTTCCATTAAATCTCTGTGGTTATGACTGATCGTATTAGGTTAGCCTGAACTTCATGCATCCAGAAACATGTCTTCAGGTCCTATATGAACTATCAATGAATTATTATCTTTTTAATAGCATTAGGCTATTAAAATTTTAATATATATTATTCCTGAAAGACACAGCTTAAATGAATCATTCTTGCTTACCTTAATCTAAATCTCGCTGGTAAAATGGACTGTACGTGCCATTCCAAACCTAGTATATTCATTTCACAGGGCAGTATTGTCTTTGTGCGAAAATGATATGGTAAAGTGAGTCTATCAAGTTTGGGAAAGGACATCAAGAGTACATAAGCCTATAAGTCTACATA